TTTTTTTTTTTTTTAAGTTTTTTTTTTTTTTTTTTTTTTTTTTTTTTTTTTTTGAGAAAAGGAAACTATTCAGAATATTATAAAAAGGTGTAACAGTGTCTAACAGACCGTTACGACCGTTATGGTACCCCCACAGCCGTTATGTAACACCGAAACGGCCATTACACATGTGAATTTCCATCACACCGCTATAGTGGCCATAACGGGTGGCGGTAACTACCACAACCGTTACGTAACGGTTGCAGCCACTTTTTAAAACCTTGCTTTCAAATTTTCTCCCTTTGTGATGTAGTTCAATTCATAGTTTAGTTAGTTCGTAAGCTGTACTTGTGTGTGGTCTGCCCCATGCCTATAAATAGGTGTTTAGACTTCTAATAATCAGTTCTGATCATTTGAGATTGTAATTTTACAGCTCTATCTCTTGTATCCCTAGATTTGGGAATTCTCTCTAACAAATCAATCCTCTTGATTTGTTTCCATCATTTGGTATCAAAGCATTAGGTTTGATCATTTTCCTTCCTAATTGTTGCCCAACTAATGATTTAATTTAGAATTCCTTCGGATTCGAGTGGCAAATTTTTTTCAAAAACTTGTATTACCTCTGTTTAAACAAGCAAGTACACATCTGGTTGAGATTCGAAGCCTTTCTAGCAATCAATTGAGTGTCGACATTGTTTTTGGTTGAGTTCGCAAGTGTTGATTGCGAGCCTCTAAAGAAAATCAAAGTTTTGAAGTCAGAAACCTCCATCATGAGAAGAATTATAGAGCTTCAAGGCTTGTCGATCGACATCGATATTAGCCAATAGTAGCCTTCGATCACAGTTACAAAGTCGTATGAATCTTCGATCGATTCTTGATAGCGTTACATGATGTTCAATTGCACATCAACTAAGTAAATCAAACATCGCATCGAATTCGACTTTGACCTGCGACTTCGATTTCATAATCAAACTTTGATTTCGACTTCACAAAGCTGTTGGGACCTTGAAACACTTAGGTTTTGTTGCTTTTCAACCACCAAAGCTTTATTATTAGCCTCTGAAAAGGACCACAAAGTGTAAAGGCCAAGTACTTCTTGGATGGAGAACTTCAAACCACTTACGTACCTTGCAACCATTTGATCTTCACTCTCATTAAGATCAACTCTTGCAACAAGTTGATAAAATGCTTTCATATACTCAACCCTACCAAATTCCTTGAGGTTATACAAGTTTTGGTACAAAGTTTGCATATAGTTGAAATGCAAGAATTGCTCATTGAGCTTGTTCTTCATTTTCTCCCAATGCCTAATCTTTCTTTTAACTCGTCATTGTCTACTCACTTGCATTTGTTCCCACCAAGTGGAAATTCTTCCTTTGGCACATACAAACACTCGTTCATTAGCGTTCAACAATTCGCAAACCCATCCAGATTGAGACTTCCATGAAATTCAAGAAGCTCACCTTGATGTTATTCTCCCATTTGTACTCAAATCTTCCCAGATTCGCCCGACGCTTCTGCAGAACACCAAAAGGATTCTCAAATTCGATTTGACCATCCTTGGGAGCATCACTACCATCAGTAGGAGATTCATTTCGATTTGAAAAGCCTGTTCAACCCTCAATTCATAGTCGTGATTAGAGTTTCGAAAAATTCTAACACTATCTAGATGATTCGACTCTAAATGGTTCAAGTGACTTCATCAAAGCCTTCTCCGCTTTGAATCTAGTTTAATTTCCTAAGCTATGAAGCACGGGTGCGGGTGCAGGTGCGGGTGCGAGTATGATATGGGTACACCGATACAGCAAATTCTTACAAAAGTAGGGTACAGGTACAGGTACAGGTACAGGTACAGCTGGGGTATGTCATTTTTTTTTTTAAAAAAAAAATTATAGCTAAATATCCAACATACAAATCAAAATTTCAATATCAAAACTAAAAAGAGAACAGCTTGTCTAAAAAGTTATATAATTCTTTCTTTTTCTTTTTTGATTGTCTAAAATAGGATACAAAAGAGAACAAAACCATAACTCATGAGTAAAGAGTGTTAGAAATAAATTACTTGATATTTTCAAAATTGAAAGAAGAATAATAAAGGTTGTAATAAATTCTAGTAGCTACAAAAAAAAAAAAAAAAATCTCGCCGTATCAGTGCCATACCCACGACGTACCCAAATGTATTTGTCGTACCCGGTATGCGTACCATCATACCAGTACTCGTACGGCACCATTTTTGGAGTACCCGTGCTTCATAGTTCCTAAGATATGGTTTGTTAATCCAATTCAAACCTAATTAACTCAATTCGTACAGAAATTGAAGTGGCGATTTGAATTTAACCTGATATTTGATTTGATCAATTCTAAATCCAAATTGTTACCAACTTTGTTAGATTTGGTTCAGATCTTGTGACTCACAATTGATACAATGCTGTTTTTTGAGATGGCTCACAAAGGTATAGGTAGAAGGTGAGGTAAAGATAGACGTTTTGCTGCGAATTTGAGAGATGAAGTTGAGATGAATCCTTTGCTTGGAAGGAACATTGGCGATCCAAATCAACAAGATGAGATGAAAGAGTTGAGAAGGAAAATTGCCACATTGTTAGAGATGATGCAATGTTTGCAAGCTCCTACCAATGGTAGTGATGCTTCCAAGGATGCTCAAACTCAATTTGGGAAAGGAAATGGGGGAAAGAAGATCGTATTCTCCTTTACTTTTGTTCTATTTTATATTTATTCAAAGGAGGGCCCTGCCTATCTTTCAAACATCATGTGGGCTCTAAGTGCCTAGTTGTAAAATGTTAGGGGGAGTATTTGGAATCCCCACGCCCCTTCAAAAACAAAAAAACAAAAAAAAACAAAAACAAAAACAAAAAATACAAAACAAAATAAATGAAACAATAACAAAAAAGGGTAAAGATATCAATCACCATTTAGAGAATGCTCCGTGCATCATCAAGACAAATTTATTAGTTAACTTTGGTCACTACAATGAATCCACTTTTACCCAACATAGCATCATGAATCAGCTACCCCATGCTTCAATAATCCTATGTTCCTCATCCAGTTCTCCATTTGTTGACAACTGGTTAAAACATGGAAGCTATGAAACAGGTCCAGATCTGGAGGCCTCTTAAGAAAAATGTTAGTCTAATAGCTCTTGTATCTAGGATTTCTTACATTTTACGAGCCTCAAGTTTGTTTCATGCTTCTGACATAGGAGGCTAATGGAAGAATCCGGAACCTCTTGGAAGACTTGAAAGAATGAGGGATTCTTGTACAGAGATGATTCTAGAATAGGTTCTAGAATATTCTTGTAAGGTTGTAGAAAGTTGCATGAAGCTTCTACACACCATAATTAATAAGTGTTCTAGAGCATTCCTAGAAGGCTAGGTTGGCTCTATAAGGGGAGGCCTTGTTTGGCCAAAGCATCCAAGGCATATCCAGGGAGAACCAAGTGAACAAAAGCAAAACATTCTCCAAGAGCTTCTCTCTCTAAAGTGTCTTCCTCTCTAAAATCTGTGCGCGCTAACTTCCATAGCTCTCTTCCCAGTAAGGCTTTCTTAGGTGCAAACCAAGTGGGATGTCAAGCATCCAAGGCTGCACAGGTGGCTTAGAAAATTCGAGGCTGTGATAGTGTGCTCCTCCTATATTAGAGCAATGTCCAACTAATAGTAGGAGGTTGCATGGACATTTCAAGATAAGAATATTAGTACCAACTCACACTTCTTTAGGGATTTAGTAATTATAATTAGCTTAAGTTTTTACTACTTTACTTCCAATAGTCCTCCGTGCATTAGTATTAATTTATTTAGTCTCTAACTACAAGTTTTAGTCATAGTTTAGCTAAGATGGAAAATGTCCTAGGGGACACCGTGGTGGCTTAGATCACATTTCCCCAATCTCAAATTTGAGTTTCTTTATCTTACCTATCAAAAAAGAAGAAGAAAAAAAGCTAAGATGGAAAAAAAAAAAAAAAAAAAAAAAAAAAAAAAAAAAAAAAATTGATAAATTAAGATGGAAAATGCTTTTAACTAACAGATTTTTTCCAGCCTGATCTAGATCAATTTTGGGAATGAAGGACATTGCGAATAATGAGTTAACGAGATCTTTTGCAGCTGATTACATATTAAGGTTGAGTTAAAAGAAATTTGTCATTTGCGTATTGAAGGTTGCACATTCAATTTCAGGGATCACAACACTTTCAACAAATATTCAATCTCTTGAATCATTGGTAACTACTAAAATCCACCAAATTAAGCAAAGACTTGAATCTAACTACATTAAGATACTCTGCCTTAGATCTTCAAATGCATACTAAATTTTCTTGACCAATCAGAATTAAGTGAAAATTTTTACAAAGACCTCATATTTTAACAGGATGAAAACAATGGACAAAAATTAGCTGGATTGAGTTGTTGACTTAGCCTCATCTCGCCTTACCGACCCACAAATTGTTGAAATTTCTATATCCTTGTGATTACCAGATAAAAAACTAATTTACCTTAGTAAATCTTACATTATCATATTTTACTTCTATGCAGAAGAAATGTCAATTTCCAGCTGTGGACCAGACACAAATAGGCCCAGACATATAAAGGACTATAATTCTTCCCCTACTTAGGAGGGGGAAGCCATAAAAAAGGAGAATTAAGCGTGCCAGACATTGAAACAAACTTAAAATTAATCAACTACACTAAAATAACAGAAAGAAAATTGAACATCATAAGGTTATGATTCAAAACATGGCAAATGGTTGTGTGATTCAAAAGCACATATCATGCTTACTTCATCATCTCTTCCATTTGTGGGTAGGCTTTCCCTTGCTTTTGCTTTTGACAATATTACTGCATCTATATTACCAGCATCATGTATAGATGTACGCATGAATTCTGCTGAAAGAATGCTACAATAATGAATTTGGTAAGTCACATTGTACACATTTGTAATAATTAATGTATACTACTGAATTTTGTGTGAAAGACATTTTTGTAACCAAATGAAGCATGTATTGAAAGCAATAATAAATTTTACAAAACAGTTACAAAAAAGAAAAGCTCCATTAGTTAGTAACCAAAATATAAGGGCCATTGCTTGGTTCAGTCTGTAAAAGCTCAGGCTGTTAAGTATGAGATTGCGGGTTTGAGTCTGAAAGCAGCCATTATATGCATACTGCATATAATGCAAAAGATTAGGTTGCACTTTGTATCCAGTCTACCTCTTGGAGCACCCTCAATTTAAAGGACCAAAGGATGGCCCCTGTTAATGAAGTGTATCTTAGTGAAAAAAATACAATTAATGCTACAACTACTAAGCAAGGAATATAAGTAAATATATATTATTTTTTTTTGCTTCAAATGAGTAAGGGAACTAAAGGGTAAGAATAAGGCCCCATGACCATAGACATCACTTCTTATCCCATGTTTGGCACATCAAATAAGACTGACGGGTGTGCAAAATACCCGAGATGGTTTGGGTAGGTTAGATGGTTAAAAATGGTGGGTCGGTTGACATTTGGTTTAAAATTTGTCAACCCTCCTACAAACCGATCCAACCTGCTTACTGATATACACAAAATTGTCGTCCACCTGCCCATAAACAATCCAACCTAAACCTTATACCATATGAGTCAACCTCTTCATTTTCATCGGTAAACCCAACCTTCTCTCTGCCACCAGTAAGACACCAATGGGTACATTAGAGAAACACAGTCTGCAATTAATACTTTGGCTCCTAGTACCAATGGGTTTGTGTTGATCTAAGGTTGAAAAGATGGTCTTCTTAGTCATACACGTGCATACCCTAAATATATACTTAACATGTATCTCTTCTCTAACTTTCATCAACCTAACACATGTAAGAGGGAACTGTTTAAGCCAAAGGCCAACGAGAAACAGCATACTAAACGCATAAGAATGTAATCTTTCAAATGCACTGATTCCATACCATTGTGAGTAGTTGGGTGGTAAAGATAATTCTTCCTCTTATCTCTACCATAAGGTATGTGGGTCTAAAGAGCTGATTCCTGAAAAATCTTTAATTTTAGAGGGGTCCAAGTTGCAACCAACATACAACTTAACAGGGAAATAAGTGGCAAGGGGGTTGAAGTCTCCACACTTGCTTCAAATAATGAAGGTCCTTATGTTTAAGTACCTTATTCACAATCAAATTTCAGAAATAATAACTTATTTAAAAGAGGGGGAGCTTCCATTTTTTTTTTTTTTTCGAAAGTCCCATGCACATTGGTCCTTGGGTCTATGATTCAAATGTTATGACAATTGCCTCACCGTCTTTTAAACATATGTGCTAGGAGGACAGACTTTCCATGTAATTTGCACTGGATGCATATGGAGATCAGTTGGTCTTTTGAGATGATTACCATGTTATCTGTATTGAGAACCTTGTATATATAGAAGATGTATTATTACTTTGTATACAGTACACGGAAAATGTTGAGACTTAAGCACTTGGTCTAATGAGTTTATTATATCACTAGGATTACACAGATTTAAATCAGCACGCTTTCACTTAATAAACGAGAATTTAAACAAATTCCATATATTTTTCAAATGCACCTTCCACTTGATATAAGTAGGTCATTAGTAGCTCGTGGCTATTGGCCGGTCACATCCTACTCCATCTAGGGTGGGTTTTGGCTCATGGAAGACAAACTCTGTAAAACCCATTTTACTAACGGATTCGTTGTAGGTACATGGGTCAAGCCCCCACTACATGGCATCACCACATTGTCACCACGTCACCTACGATAGCTTCCCCTGTAAGCTTTGTACACCACGTGTCATCTGAAGCTAACACACATGTAGGCCAATTAGCAGGCCAAGCTTTATTGTTGCGCTCGGCCTTGCCAGACCAACTTGTGCTCGAATCAAGCATGCTCAATCACTTGGCTCACAAGTAGCCCCACTAAGCGAGGTTCCAATCCTAAATGACCAAGACATTTTAACAACGTTGCTTGGGTTGGGGGCAAGGCCAAGTACCTTGCTTCAGACCGCCATAGGTCTTGTGGATTGGAGGTTAGAGTTCAAAGGTTCATTCATATCATACCTACCTCTAAGCTGCTCTAATATCTGGAAAGGGATGTATCATACCTATTACTTGCCCCCTACCTTTATATGATACATCCTATGAGGCGTGCATTAGAGATTGCAGGGTTCACCCAATTTCCCTTCATTTTGCCTAGTCAAGGGAGTTGAGCCGTCTGATCCTATCTGAGTTGGTTCAACCTGGCTCACCGCTCTACATAAAGGAGGTTCACCCTACACACACAGGCATCCATTGCATCCCCTTTGCTCCTCCGGCATACAAGCTCTCCATTACCATCCTTTCTCTCTGCTAAGGCTGGCCTTATACCTCTCTCATTTTCCACCTCTAGTGGCTTGGGCCTCAGCCATACTAGTGTCCACCATCTTCTCGAAGGGAACTCCACAGCTAGCTCACTCTTCATCATCCACATTCATCACTTGTTTATCTATTAGCGGCTTGGTCAATTACTGGAGATCCTCAATTGTTCCATCTGATGATAGCAATATACAACAATCAAATTGGATAACTTCTTCTTGAGAAATTTTTCTGTTTTTATCATGTGGGAATTACAATTAATTTGTGCTAGGCTCATGCTTGGGCCTTTTCTGCTATCCACCTTCAATAAACTAAATTATTATTTCATATCCAAAGTCTATAAGTTTCCTATACATTTTCCATATAGACTGCCATCTTTTTAGCAAATAAGGATTGACTCCATCACAAATATGGCTTAACAAAAGATTAAGTTAAATGGATCCAGAATTCATGTCCTGCTACATCAAGATATCAAAAAAGAAGCAAGGTTTTTTCATTTCAAAACATGTAAGTTGAATAAACCTTTTACAAGATATAATTTATACTAACTAATAAAAATGCCACCACCCAATTGGTTCCATCGGGTGATGTTGTCAATGCAGGGTGGCATGATATGTGATCCACACAACAAACCTAATCTCAAGTGGCTGCCTTCAAATTCCAATAATCATTCTCAATCTTGATAGCCATAGCTCATAAGAATGGAGCATTATGTACTCATCTACTTTCATCAACAAAGTATCATTTTCAAATGTTTCAACCAAAAGAGAGATTCCTTCCCTCCCTTAGTTACCTCAAATGCGAAGCTTCACTAATGACTTAACCCATAGAGTTTGTTAAAAATATTAAATAAAATAAAATAAAGGGGAAGAAAGAGTCACCGCTAATGAATAGACTAACCTGTTTATGGTATCTATTGAAGCTGCTAAATGATCTCGAAGGTGACGAAAGCAATGTAGACCAGCCAGCTCGTCACCATCCTGTCAAACAGCAATGAAAACGTAAGATTTACAGCAATATACAATGAATATGAAGCCAAGAAAGCTCCTTTTTTTTTTTCTTGTAGTGGTTCAACTTTTGAGTGTGGAAGCATTACATTTAATGGCCTTTCAGCATAAGTTGATACAAAACACTGAAACTCTTGAGACACAAAACTTCTAAATAATATCAAACAGAAAACAACCAGGCCTCAGCCCTATCAGTATTTTGTTACATTCTCTAGCTAACTAATTACTCAGCAATCTGGGCTTCTTCTCCAGCAAATTTCTTCACCATTTCAACCTTCTCAACAGTCTCATGCATCAACGACAAACCTATAGCTGCAGAAATACTATGAACTGGAACTTGAGACAGAAATGTTTTGATACTGAAGTCAGATTCAATATGGTGGAAATGGAATTTTTTGAAAGATGGTATCTTCATCTTCACAAATGATTCCTCTTCTATGGTGAGTCATCTTTGTTAGACTAGGAAATATGTAATTGTGTGATTGTGTTTCCATATATTATGCCTTATGGCACTCCTGTAATTACTCAGTATTATCAATATAAAAGAAAATAAAGTCTAACTCATTCCTTAACTCTTTCTCTTCTCCAAAACTACATGGTATCAGAGCTTAAACCCTAGCCTATACCTCTGTCGACAGTCACCTCTCTCTGTCGACTTCTGTAGCCTATCACCCAAGCCCCCTATAGTCAATCCGAACCTCCCACACTTTCGTTCAGTCCATTGGCAGCCTCCCTGTGCCTCCCGACAGCCTCTTAGGCCTAGTCGACAGCCCCTTTGGCCTTCTAGGGGTCTGTCGGCAGCCTCCCTCTTCCAGGATTGCCCAGGCTCGTCAGCAGCCCTAACTTGTTCGACTAGGACTGTCGTGGCTTCCTAGGTGGTCAACTAGGGCCTTCGGTGCTCCCTGGTTCGTCGGCTAGCCTCACGCATGTAACTAGTCGTCTCTGTATAAAACAACAAAAAAAAAACAAACAAACAAACAAAACAAAACCAAAAAAAATTAAAAAAAACAATTTTCTTTTCTTCTTTATGCTTTCATAGGGTGAGTTGTGCCTTTCCTTCTACTATTATCTTCCGGGTTTGTGATTTGCCCTGGGTTCGAAGGTTCCTTAGTAGAATATTCATGGCAAAGTTCACTAGTGAGTCAACAACTTCTCAGTCGCTTAAGAGCGAGAGCTCCCTTCTACCTTCTACTATGACTGATAATCTCAACCCTAGCCTAAAAATCACCACCTCTCTATTCAATGGTCAGAACTATCTAGTGTGGTCGCAGAGTCTGACTATTTTCTTGACGAACAGAGGGAAAATGGGTTATGTTGATGATAGGATACAGGCACCCACCACCACGGACCTGAGTTATGATCAGTGGGAGATCACTAACTCCCTCATTATGGGTTGGTTGATCCATTCTATGGTCCCGGAGATTGAAGAAGGCTATCTCTCTATGGACACTGCACAAGATATTTGGGAGGCCATGACTACTACTTACTCCCGGAAGGGGAACTTTTCCCAGGCTTTCGAGTTACGTTGCTCCATTGAAAAGTCGGTACAAGATGAGATGATTATCCTTCAGTATTTTACCTTCCTTAGCAATGGGTGGAAGCAACTTAATCATCTTCAGGATTACAAACCAGTCTGTCCCACTGATTCTATGGGTTACCGAAAGTTTGTGCCCAAGAACGAGTCTTCAAGATTTTGGAAAGCCTAAATGTGGAGTATGATCCAGTGCGGAGTAGAGTCCTTGGCATGAATGTGTTTCTTTCTCTCCAGGAAGCCTTTGCTTTTGTGTAGAATGAGGAGAGTCGTTGCTCTGCGATGCCTCCCTCTGCCACTCCTAAGCTCGGCCCCGGTCTCTGCACCCCCTTGCGATGGCGACCGTGTGACTCGTGGTTCTTGTCCTTCCTCTAAGAAGGATGATCTTTTCTGTGACTACTGTTGTCGACCTCGCCACACACGAGAGACCTGTTAGAAGCTACATGGGGCTCCTTCTGGTGGTCGAGGAGACCTTCCTAGTACTTGAGGGGGTAGGTCTGGTCCATCTAGAGGCCGAGAGGCCAATGCTCAGGCACATCTTTCAGGCACGGTTAAGCCACTATCTTCATCTCCGGTTGTCTCCCCTGCTGTTGATGTTTCGCGGTTCTCTGCGTCGGATTTTGAGATTGCTCTTCGACACTTGCTAGATCGTCGAGCCTCCACTTTTGCTCCAAGTGCGCCCTCTTCTTTCTTTGCCAATTCAAGTAACTTGGCTTCCTCTCAATGTGCATTGCTATCTCATACGCCTGTACTATGAATTATTGATTCTGGTGCTTCCAACCATATGTCTGGCTCTTCAAATTTATTTTCAGATTATAACCCCTCCTCTGGTCAGGACAAAGCGTGTATTGTTGATGGTACTTTTTCATCTGTGTCAGAGAAAGGTTTAATTCATACCACCTCTTCCCTTCCTTTGTCTTCTGTCCTCCATATTCCTAATTTTAGTGTTAATCTTTTATCTTTGAGTCGTATTACCCGTGACTTAAATTGTAGCGTGACGTTTTTCCTGATCATTGTCTTTTTCAGGACCTTATCACGGAAAAGAGGATTGGCAGTGGTAGAGAGAACCATAGTCTCTACATTCTGGATCAGACAGACAAGCTGGCCCATTCATCTATTCAATTCCCATCCACCAAGGACAACATTTGGCTGTGGCACCGTTGCTTAGGCCATCCCTCTTTTTTATTATTTAAGTATTTATTTCCTTCTGTCTTTGAGAAAAATAATGTCTGATTTTCAATGTGAGTCTTGTCAACTTGGAAAACAACATAGAGCCTCTTTTGCTCCTATTAATAAAAGTTCAGTTCCTTTTTCTTTTATTCATTTTGATGGCTGGGGTCCGTCCCGTTTTGTGTCTTTAACCGGTCAAAAATGGTTTGTTACCTTCATAGATGATTACTCCAGGGCCACTTGGGTATATTTGATGACAGATAAAAGCAAGGTGTTTTCTGTGTTTCAAAACTTCCATAAAATGGTTTGTACTCAGTTTGGGGCGGTTGTTAAAATTCTCCGTTCTGATAATAGGGGGGAATATATCAACTCTGGTCTTGTCACTTACTTCGTCACTCATGGCATTATTCACCAGACTTCATACACTAATACCCCTCAATAAAATGGTGTTGCCAAACGCAAAAATTGCCATCTCCTTGATGTCGCCCATTGTCTATCCTTTGAGATGCAGGTTCCTTGATCCTATTGGGGGAAGCAGTTCGCACTGCCGTTTATTTGATTAATCGTCTTCAAAAACAAACACCTCTTCAAGTTTTGTTTGGGTCTACCACTTTCGGATTCTCCATTTCTTCTAAGACTTTTGGCTGTGTTTACTTTGTCCATAATCATTCACCCACTCGTGGTAAATTAAATAGGTCCATTAAGTGTGTTTTTCTGGGTTATTCTGTCACCAAAAAGGGTTATAAGTGTTATCATCCTCCCACTCACAAATGGTTTGTCTCCATAGATGTCACTTTCTTTGAGTCTCAACCTTACTTTCCGCCCTCTCCGGTATCACCGTCATCCCTTCAAGGGGAGCCTTGATGTGAAGAGATTCTTGTTCCACTTCCGCCCGCGGTTGACCATATAGAGGATGATGAGCCAGCAGTTGTTGAAAAAAAGACAAGCAAAGTTTATATCAGGGACAAGGACAGACAGCAAGCCACATGGATGCAAGAGACAACTTTCCTTCCTCTACTGCCAACTTCTTCTCCAGATGAGTGTCCTAAGAGTCCAGGTAATTCTGATTCTAGTACTCCTATTCCTAATTTTTCAAATCTTGATGTTCCCATTGCTAATAGGAAGGGGGTTAGGTCATGTACTCAGCATCCGATTACTAATCATGTCTCTTATTCTAATATGTCTTCGTCATATAAAGCCTTTCTGTCTAAAGTGTCTTCTGTGAGTCTACTTACCAATTTTCAGGATGGTCTCTCTATTTCTGAATGGAAGCATGCCATGATGGAAGAGATGAAAGCTCTCAGCAAGAGTGGCACTTGGGAGTTAGTGGAGTTACCTAGAGGCAAAAATCCAGTTGAGTATAAGTGGGTGTACACGGTAAAACACAAAACCGATGGTTCCATAGAACGATACAAAGCAAGACTGGTTGCTAAAGGTTTCACTCAAACTTATGGGGTGGATTACCAGGAGACATTCGCACCGGTTGTTAAGATGAATTCTGTGAGAATCTTACTCTCTCTTACTGCAAATTTGGATTGGCCACTTCATCAGTTTGATGTGAAGAATGCATTCCTTCATGGAGATCTAGCAGAAAAGGTGTATATGGATATTTCTCCTGATTTTGCGGATGCAAAGTCCAACGGTAAAGTATGCAGGCTTCGAAAGTCACTTTATGGGCTAAAGCAATCTCCTAGGGCTTGGTTCGAAAGATTTGCTCAAGCTATGCTGAACTATGGGTTCAAGCAAAGTCAAGATGATCATATCTTGTTTGTGAAACACTCCTCACATGGAAAGACCACAGCTTTTTATTGTCTATATTGATGATATTATTCTGACAGGAGATGATGTTGAGAAAATTCCTCGTTTAAAAGAATACTTAGCCAAGGAGTTTGAAATCAAAGACTTGGCTATTTGAAGTATTTTTTGGCCATTGAAGTAGCTCGGTCCAAGAATGACATTTTCAAATGCCAGAGGAAGTATATACTTGACTTGGTAAAGGAAACCGGAATGCTTGAAGGTAGACCTTGTGATACACCTCTAGAACCGGGCCAGAAACTGAGGAAGGATCAAGAGGGAGATCCAGTAGACAGGGGGAGATACCAGAGACTAGTGGGAAAGTTCATATACTTATCCCACTCACGTCCAGACATTGCCATTGCCATTGCCATTGCCATTGCCATGTGTATGGTGAGTCAGTTTATACATGCTCCGAGAACTTCCCACTTAGAGGCAGTTATGAGAATCCTGAGATACCTAAAATTTTCTCCTAGAAAGGGTTTCTATTTCTCAAAATATAGCCATCTCAGTGTGGAGGCATTTACTGATACAAATTGGGCTAGATCTGTCATTGACAGATGATCAACTTTCGAATATTGCAAATTTGTTGGTGGCAACCTAGTCACATGACGAAGTAAGAAACAGAATGTGGTTGCTAGATCTAGTACTGAGGCAGAATTCAGGACTATAACTCAGGGTGTATATGAGTTACTATGGATTAAGCTTTTGTTGGGAGACTTGAGAATCCATCAGAATGACTCTATGCGACTATACTGTGACAACAAGGCCGCAATGAACATAGCTCATAATCCAGTTAAACATGATAGAACTAAGCATGTGGAGATTGATAGGCACTTCATCAAGGAAAAACTCACTAGTGGTATCATATGTATTCCATTTGTGAAGACTAAAGACCAACTAGCCGATGTTCTCACCAATGGGCTAGGGAGCAAATCATTTCATGGCATCCTCAACAAGCTGGGCATGAGAGATATCTTCGCATTAGCTTGAGGGGAAGCATTAGAATAGGAAATAAGTTAGAATAGGAAATACGTAATTGTGTGATTGTGTTTCCTTATGTAATGCCTTATGGCACTCCTGTAATTACTTAGTATTATCAATATAAAAGGGAATGAAGTCTAACTCATTCCCTAACTCTTTCTCTTCTCCAAAACTACAATCTTTTCATTTTTTCCTTCTCATGTGTGAGTTTGTTACCGTAAACCCTTCATCTTCTACCTTCTTTGCTCTTCCATTCTCTTTCAATTTCATTTCAATTCACATGATGGCTCTTTGTATCTTTGTTTCTATTGTTGTAGTTGCATTACTCTTTCTAATCACTCTTTTGAGATCTTTTCCAAGCGGATACCATTTCAACATCAGACCATATAGAATTCATGATGGGGATTTAAAGATTGAGAAAAGAAATTTCATTATCCAGATTGACAAAGTTTGTAGAGGTTAGAAAATAGAGTTACAGAGGAAAATAGGGTATGAAGCTAATCCTTATCGCTGGACTTGGGTGGAGCTTTTTGGCTAAGCCAAGCTCTAAGAGCGGCAGCAGAAGTTATGGATGCTATCACTCTTCAGAAAATACAGTAGCAATAATAATTCATTGGTATGGGCTCAATTGTTTTTAATAAAAAAGGGGTTTTTTGTGAGGTTCCAATATGGTTGGGAGGAAGAAAAGGGCCAATATCATTATTTCTTGTGGAGTTTTTTTATTTTTTGATAAATTATTTATTGTGGAGTTAAAACTTAAGGTTGGTTGGAAATGGCTAAAATCACCTTATAACTTAACAAAAAATGGAATTACGTTAGGGGTGAGCAGCGGATATACCGATCCGTTCAAACCAACCAAATCGAAGCGATCCGCTGCACTTTGGATGAATGCGTGCTGACGAGCGGACGGTTGCGGATTGATTTTTTTCAATCCGCCTAATTTTGGACGGATGGCGAATTTAAGGTTCCTCTAACCGCAACCGAACCGCCAAACCGTGAGCACCCCTAATAATTTGAAAGACTTTCTATTTTCAATTTGTTTAGATATTTTGTTTCTGTTTTCATTTGAAAAATAGTTCTGTTGAATATGTTATGTTGAAAAAGAGTTTTCAACTTGAATATATTTTTGGAATTGAAAAAAATAAATGTATTATTTATCTATATTTTTTAGTATTTAAATTTAACTCTAAAAATAATAAATAAAAGAGATGATATATGTTGGTTGGTTTTTGTTTTCAAAAACAGATATAGATGTAACAATATAGAGGCATACAATCTCTACTACTGCTCTGTTCATGATTTTGGAAGTTTCAATTGTTTTTATATTTTAAGAACCACATATTGTAATACTTTATGTGGATGAAATATGCTGTGATTATAATATGTGGATGAGGCATGCAGAGATTGTAATACATTTTTAAGTTGTTGATTGTAATTTTTTAGGTTCAAGTTTTTTTTTTTTTTTTGAAGAAGAAGAAGAAGAAGAAGAAGTACACAAATTGAATTATGTTGAAAATTTATAAAATTTTAAATCGCCAAACCGATTCACATCAATTCGCCAATTCGCTCAATCCACATCTGCCGGATTGGCAAACAGATGCGGATTGATTTTCTCTAATCCACCAATCTGACAGACGGATAGCGGATTGGAAGTTTCGTAGCCGCAACTGACCCACACCCACCCCTAAGTTATGTAACATCCTATTCAAAATACGGAGATCTAATTGCTATTTATGTTCACAATGGCGTGTTATGTGCACGAAAGAAGAGGAAAATTTTTATCATCTAGTTTTGCATTCTCCTGTGGCTTTGGATTTGTGGTCGAAGGTATTTGGTTTGGCAGGGGTGGATTGGGTGATACCTGCTTCATGTGCTGTGTTCAAATGTTAGTAATAAATTTCAGGGGTTTTGGTTATAATAGGACAAGCCAAGTTCTTTAGGAAAATGTTACTTGCATTGATTAGCTTGTGCTTTGGGGTATTTGGTGGGGCAAAAAATGAATCCTTGAGGATATGTTGGATGAGATTCACAGAAAAAGTGTGCAATTTGACTTCTTTTGGATTGCAGTGTCTTTGGCACTCAAGGAGATCATTTTGTTTCTAATTAGTAAGGGCTGGTGAGTTGTGTGTGATTTGTAGTTTTGTTATCTTTTATTTTTCCATTTTTTTTTTTTTTTTTCATCGAGGATTTCTTGTCATCCTTTGTACCTTTTTTGTGTCTTTCCTTTCCAAAGACATCTATAGATATACACAAAAAATGCATAGATTGTGTATAGATAATATTTCTTTCATATGGCGTGAAAATTGAATGAAGAAGGCCAAAGCTTTAGAACCTATATCATGAACCAAAAAGTTAATCATAGACAACAAGTTAAGAATGACTAAACTACGACTTTTAGAACTTTAGAATCACAACATTCAGTAACTAGAACAAATTCATAGTAGTTGTGAATATACCAGCAAATGTTGCAAATCATCAGTGACGTCTAATGCCCCAGCACAATCTGCGGATGCAACAAGCTGTGCAAGAAGCAAAAAGAAAACAATCAGTTTGTATACAAATAATTAACAAAATAGCTAGTTAGGTATTAAATCCGTAGTCTCTAAAATCATTGATATTTGATACAGTCCTTAAAATGATTAAGCAAGTATCATTTTTCTAAGTGAATTTTAAACATGAATCCATCAATTTCTCTTTACTCAAGTTGAAACAGAGCATTTCAACAAAGAATAATATTTTTCCATAAGAGACAACTGAAATGACAAACTCCACCCAAAGTCATTACGATGATTACAGTAATGGGAAACTGTTGCATCTGATACTCGCTTTCTTAGACTTTAATCTAATGATTTTCGGTTCACAATAACATTTAGGCCTCATTTGGAAACAAGCTATTTTAGAAACTTATTATTTATGAAAAGATGTGCAGAAACGTAAAAAAAGTGATCTGACAACTTATAGTAACTTTTTGACTTTTTGACTAATATAATTACTCCCCAAATGAGGCCGTAGTACCAAATTGCACACCTAAATCGCTTATGTAAATGGATGAGTAGAACTCAAACATGTTCAATCATTTAATTGTTGGCTTATGTATACATTTAAATGGGTTTTAGTTTTGTTTTCAAACATTATCATGTGTTTCCAATTACTGTTTACCTCATTTTTATTTTTATTTTTGTTCAGTGAAAGTCGGTGCTTAATTGCTAGATTACCACCTAGGGTAGTTGAACCCACAACCTCTCCTTGCAAGTACTTATGCCTTGCCCCCATGCCACAAAGCCTTCATTTCTATTTTCCTCGCATTTCCAAAATGTTGTTTTAAATGTTTTCATTTCGAAGATGACCAAAACAACACACCAAAATAAAATTTCGATCATTGCATTCACCTTCCATGAGCTTGTGCTATGAGGTTAGGATGTATTCTTCATTTTGTGCTAGTCTTCAATTATTGTCTCAGAAGGATGCCTCATCCTTATTTACACATCTCCTTCTGTTCTTTATTAAAGTTACATTCTCTTTTAAGGAAAAACTTGAATGCATGCACATATGCATACACATACATATTGTAAATTTACAAATCCACATGAGTAGCCAACCACACAAAAAATACAACCTTCATCAGGGGTGCCTTGGATCCCCAAACCCGTCTCCATGGAAAGGAGGATCCTGATTATAAAGCAACGATCTTTCCAGTACACCCTCGATGTGGTGACACATACCTAATACTCTCCTTCTGGTTGTCTAAATAATTTGTAGTCTTTGTAGCGACTATATGTGATTTCAGTTTTTAAAGGAGCCATGTAGATGTGGTGCTGTATACTTGCCATGTGCTTAGGCCCCCTGCTCTGCCGTGTACTTGTCTACCTCTTGTAGAATTTTACTTATCAGAAGAAAGAAAGAAAATAAAAATACCATACACACGCGCGCACACACTATGCATGTAGCTATAGAAGCAAGAAGAAGAAGAAGAAGAACAATACCAGTTTAAGAGCTGAAAGAGCTTGGTTGACATATAATATAAGCCTCAATTTCTGTTGCAGAGCCAATAAATTACTCCTTGTAGCATTCAAGTCGTGAATTTGTTGGGCGGAATCCACCAAGTCCGCATCCAAGAGCCTTATGGTCTCCTTCAGTTCCCTGATCCGACTACATCCCTCCACAATCTTCACGTTCAAATCTTCCAACTGCCCCTGTGCCTCAAAAAATGAATTGGACCTCAGTGAAATCTCCTTTACCAAATGCAATTCGACCACATCCAAATATTGGGACAGCTTTTCCTGCAACACCAAATTCTCCGACATCGTTGAGAAGGGACACGCCGCCCGGAAAGTGCCTCCGTCCTCCAACGCAAAGTCCTCCTTGAAATACAATGCCGGGACTTCGCGCAGACACGCCACCAACGCTTCGCCCTGACCTCCAATGCTCTCCAAATCAACACTTTCCTTGTTGCTATGGTTTCGAATGTCCTCAAATCGGCCATACGGTTCCGAGATCGAAGCCAAATACTGTTGAAAATCAGATCGGCTCACTTCTGAGCCGACCTTGTTCGCCGCCAAAGGCGCGAATTCGGAAGCAGTCACGGCAGTGGACGACGACCACCACCCGACCCACGAGGCGTCGGAGCCATAAACGCCGGATTTGCCGACATGAGGGTTGTTAAGAATTGAAGCTAAGCTTTGGCTACTGCCATCGGAGATTGATTTGGACGGGGACGAACTGGTTCGGCCAAGGTGAATGCCCTTCTCACTGTAACTACTACTACTACTACTACTATGGTCTAAGAACCTTCCCGATTGGGAAGGCTGCGAATCCATTTTCACGATCCCAAGATCATGAATTGAACCCAATTGGTTGAACCCTGGAACAGCAACAATGAGCAATCGGAGAAATGTGTACTGCGATCGTAGTAAAAAGAGCAGGTGAAGTAGATCTACGTGAAGAAGAAGAAGTGTTCTAGAGAGAGCTGAGAAGGTTTCACAGAGAAACAATTTTCCAACTTGGTTGTATTTTGCAAATGAGAGAGATCGCTGCGTTTCTCTCTCTCTCTCTCTCTCTCTCTCTCTCAGCTTTGATATGGATCTGGAGTTTGGACTGGAAGACGGGAGAGGGTAACGATTAGCCAATTCTTATAAACTCATAATGGACCAGCCGGGCTCGGCAACTTAAAAGAACCACCCCGGTAACTTTTTCATTTAGACCGTCCGACCCATATTGACATGTCTGAGAGCATGTTGAATCTTTTTTACAATCACTCCGGCCTTCACGAAAAATTATTAGGTGTCCACACATGTTTTTACCCTCTCTTAAAAAATAATGCCGTATCCGTAAAAAAAAATTATACATAAAAATGAATATTTTGGGGTGCGGGGTTGAGTTAGTGGTTTACCACTATTTTGAAATTGGGCTGAGAATTATCTGATTAATTCTACAGTTATAGATCTTCAAACTGTTGTATAGCTATTTTTAAGTCCTCTTGTTTTTCAGTTAGCTGTCTATTTATTTGAGAAATTTTTAAACTGTAATTTTCTAGGAATCTGCCAGAAGCTAATGATAAAAGAAACTGATTTTTTAAATTGTAATTTTCTAGAGATCTGTTAGAAGCTAATGTTAAAAGAAACTGATATCTAAATTTTTGATCTTCTGATTCTTGTATTAGTTCAATACTAATTTTAATTTTATTCCTAAGGTCTTCGTCTAAGGGCATATAAATTTTGATTTTTTGAAATTCTTATATAGACAATATTTCCTTAATATTTCTACTCGGGTTGTACTCCTTATATTCTAAAATTCTTTTCTATGGTAAAAACTATTTTTAAGAAATGTTTGTTTTCATTACATGTACTCCCACCTTGAGACTAAGCCTCGTTCAACATAGGGGGTGTTTGGCAATCAGAGGTTGAGGCTATTATAGCCTCTTTTGGAAAATTAGCCCAAAAGCCAGCACTGTAGCACCTTTTTACTGATTTTCAAAAGAAAAAAAAATAGGCTGCTGCCCGGACAGTGTAGGCACAACCTACACTGTCACAGCCGGACAGTGTTACAGCAAGGGCAAAATTACCATTTTTTCCCTTTATATCAATTTTAAAATAAAAAGTTAGGGATAAATTTGTCATTTTAAATTTAAACATCATTTCAACACACTTTTCAATACAACAACTCAACTAAAAATTCATCTCATCTTCCCAAACACAAAACTAAAATAGCCTACTAAAATAGCCAAAAAGCCAAATAGCCTACTAAAATAGCCACTTCCCAAACGAGGCCATAGTATATTTTTATTTTCCATTTTTCACTTTTCCCTTTGTGCCTACAATTCGCCCTCCAACGCCTAACCACGGCTCACACGGGCTCTTCAGCTAAGGTCACTCAGTAACAAAATAGAAAACTGAAGATACTACGAAGGTTCAAAGCATGTAATATTAATGAGCAAACAAGCATTACATAAACTTAGTTTTCCCAAAAAGAAAATAAATTTTTAGAATAGAAGAGTTACCCTTTCGAAATATTTAAAGAAAAAGAGAAACTACTCACACTTCATATTAATAAGAAATATACTTACAAAGATTATATTACAGACTCTGAAACTTTGAAAAACTTAATACACTTAGAGGTTTTTGAGGGGTTGGAAAATTTACAACGCAGAGTGAAGTGGTGTTTTTCATTCTGCCTTCTCCGTTGGCAAGCATGCCAATTTATACACAAAGTTGATACATACAAGTTGAAACAATCCAAAAAATCTTTCGTCAAAAGTTCTGGCAAAGAAAACAAAAAAGTCTAAAGGCTATTTTACCTAGACCATAGACTCCTACATAGACTACCTAGATTCATACAATAATATCTATGCCATAAATGCATAGATTTGGGCGTAAGTTATTATTATGGATAAAATCTTATCAATAAAGGATTAGGATAATGATATCAGGTACTGCTTTGAGCCCCATCACATATCATTCAATCCTCCTTTTTTGACAAAATTTTGACACTATAATTTATTACAAGACACGTATAAAGATTTTCACAGCTTTTCTTTAATAAAGCAGGATAAGAAATATCCACTTTATTAAAGTAGTGAGTGAAGGAAAATCCTTGGATAATGATATCGGGTATTGCTTTGAGCCCCATCACATATCATTCAATCCTCCTTTTTTGACAAAATTTTGACACTATAATTTATTACAAGACACATATAAAGATTTTCATAGCTTTTCTTTAATAAAGTAGGATAAGAAATATCCACTTTATTAAAGTAGTGAGTGAAGGAAAATCCTTATCACTAACAGACTCAAATAATTACAGACACAAAATATTTGCAAAATCTTTTGTCTTTTCTTGGCGTGCATTTTTCTGATATCTGAGGAGAATCCTTATCTTCTATGGATTTTGTCTTTTTTTGCTGGAGTGCCAATTATTGATATCGACCCTTGGAGTGATTCTTCAAAGTTGGGTCTTCATGGAAAATTTTCAAAATGTAAAGAGTCAAGAAATAATCTACTACAATATGTTCAAAATATATTATGAGTCTTGTAGTGGAAACCTATAATAATATATATATTTATTATAAATATATAATTTATAATTATATATATATATATATATATATTTGTTATTATAAATTATTATATATATTTAATATTGATTTCAATTTTATGAAATATATATATAAATTTTAAATTTAATATAATTTAATATATTTGTTATATATTTATGATTTAATTTAATATATATTAATATAAATTATAAATTTAATATAATTTAATATAATTTAATATAAATTTAATATATATCTAGATTATAATATTATATAAAATTTTTAATTATATATAATTATAATTTATATATTTATATTAATTTAATATATAATAAAAATACTATTATTAATAATTATCTAAATATAAATATAATATATAGCAGTAACTAAAATTACGTGCACCGTATCATGCAGGAAAATAGACTATATATTTATTTTGTGTGAATAATAATCATCTTAATCTTAAATTTATATCTTAATACGACAACGCATAATATTAAGCCATCTAGATAGATTGTAAATAATTAACCACAAATTTACAATAAATTAGATATGCATAAGAAATTATTAATTATAAAAATTGTGAGGAATAAAGTTAATCCTTGGATAAATAAATAACTTTGTATGCAAACTAATTAAACAACCAATATTAAAAAAGAAAATTCTATAAGCTGCGGAAAGTATCATAAAGTTTACTTGGACTTTAATCAGTGTGTATAATATTATTATGATAAATTTATGAATAAATATTAACTTTTAAATAATATTATGAGTAGTTTTTAAAAAATTTAATCTAAGTTTGTGCTTGCTTAAAAAGACTTCTCAACAAAATTATCTAATTGATTAATTAGTAACTCTCTATTCTTTGATTCATCTATCAATGACACCTCATATCATATCAAAGTATAAATCATCTCCATAATTTGAATAATATTTGCATAGTTCCTTACGTCATTTTAAAAATTAATCAAGATAAGTAAGTCATAGTTTATAAAATTATAAAAGAAAAGTTTTAATCCATTTTATTTATAAAATGATAAATTATTTGAATTTAATTAAAAATATACAAATGAAGCTTAATATTATAATACCAAAAAAAATTATACGGTTATTTCACGAAAAAATGTCAATAACAAATAGGTCATGGAAACATTACTAAATATTATGGCTCTTAAATGATAGATATAATCTAGCAACAACTAATAATAACATTAGGATAACAAATATGTGTACTTTCCAGGCCGGCTTGAATTCGTCGGGCTAGGCGAATTTGGAAATGCGGGAGCTCCTTTATATTGAAAAAAAATTCTGAATAAAACGATAAGTCACAATTTTTTTATTTGTTTGTAATATAAAAAATTACCCTTACACTATATCATTAAAATATAAATAAAACAATTTAATAAAACAAATATAAAAAAAATAGGAAAAATTATTCAATTAAAAATTGATAAAGACTAGTAAAAATTTAGAATTATTTATCACAAAATTATAGATAAAGAGGTAAAAAAATAATACAAAAATAGTAGGGCTTATATATGGTATGTATATTTTTCTTGAGCCCAAACACTTTTTTTAATTATATATTTTCATTTTAATAAATATGGACCAAACACACTATAAATAAAGTCAGGAGTAATCATACATGGAGCCCCAAAATATTTTGGGCCTTTAAATTTGATCTAACCAAGAAAAAAAAAACATTGGCGCTATAATCTTTACCAAAATTTAGGCCGGCTATTTTGGGCCAAATTAGGAGGCCCTATGTTATTATGTTTATATGTTTTACCAAATTTAGGGCCTATTGTTTTTTATTTTTTATTTATATATTTTTCATTTAATAAATATGGGCAAACACCTTTATAAATAAATATGAGCTAAATTATACATGGCCAATAAAACATTTGGGCCTCTAAATTGATTTTAAACAAAAAAAAAAAAAAGTTAAACCTTACAATTTTTTAAATTTGGGGCCCTATTTTTGGCCAAAATATGGGGCTAAGGCACGCTTACTGCTTAGGGCGGGCCGGCCTGAGTATTCCCTATCATCTTGTATTATATTATTAATTTCATATATTATATGAACAGTTTTATTCGTCTCGATCCTTAATAAAAAGGATCGAGAAAACAAATTTGATAGAATTGATTCTAGACTTAATTATTGAAAAAAAAAAATTTCAAAGAAGAGAATTAGAGATGGGGATTGAAGAAATATTATAACGAATGATAGCCTCATAAAATTAAAAAAAAATAACATTGATCTAAGCAATTTATTTTTAATAACTAATAGAAAGAATCTAATTATTACATTTATATATAGTGAAGAAAAATTAATTTTGTGAGATTTTTGTGCTACCTGTTTCCCATAGTAGCCTTTATTATTTCATTATTAATACTATTCTCATTCAGAGCGATATTTTTTTTTTTTTTTTAATTTTATCATTTGGTAGATAATAACGAATAATAAAAATTTCAGAGAATGTTAAGAATTTAATAGGAAGATAAGAAGTTATAGATAAGGCATTTCATAAGGATAAAAATTTAAAATAAAAAAGATAATATGTGATAGGAGAAAAAAAAAGAGTAAATAAAATATATTAGATATATATGTTTTTGTAGATATATCAGAT